ATTAGCTAGCGTTTTTCAAAAATAACAACCTGTAACCAATCATGTTATGAGGAGTAGGTATTGATCACTGCCTGTATTGTGATGGTGGAAACTCTACTTTTAAAGCAAGATATAGACATAGAATTGTAGATAGAGCTGATGGTGAACTTCAGCAATGAGGGTTTTCGCGTATGAAAAATCCACTAGATGGCAAGACGTAGATATGAGGTCTAACTGCTACGTGATTGGTGAATTTTGACGTATCTGTCAATGTCATGTCAAAAATAACCAATCATGCAGCATTTAGACCTCACGTCTACGTATTGCCATCTAGCAGATTTTTCATACGCAAAAACCCTCATTGCTAAGCAAATAGGTATGAGTTCATAAAGAAAAAGAAGATATCACTGAGGATGTAATAGATTATGAACATACCTATTTGTATGCCATAGTCGAAAATGCAATTGAAAGCATTAAGGAACTATACGTACTGCCTACCCATATTAAAGCTACCCGATGGAAGATCCCTTCTACCTAATTTGACAATGAGTAAACTGTTATCTACAGACTACAACTATGCTTCCATTTCTGCACCGTTAATGCCTGCTAATGCCTCCGATCCTGCTCGCATAATACACAATACCCTGAAAGATTGCATACATAATGCAAGCCTTATTTGTCCCACTACCACCGCCATTGCCTTTCATGTATACCATAATATCATATCATCTAGAGTTAGGACCATATTGCTTATCAGATGAGGACATGGAACGGCTAATGATATGCGAATATTCTTACAAACATCTTGTATTGTTACACAATCAAGGAGGATCTCGCTTACATAATTTTCGTTGATGGTTTCCTTGCCGATTTTTGTAGCAGGACCGAATTCACTACATATTTTTGGGCCGTTTTTTTGTCTCATTTTGATCGTAGTTTGTTTTTTAAACATTTATTATTATGACATTATGCGATATCTCTCGACAAAAAGTTTAAAGCTGAGTTGCAACATCTATCGCAGTTAACGCACCTTACCACTGTACACAGAAAAAGCAATAAATAAATTATATTCTATTCTATTCACCGGTTATTGTTTTAAAGTAAGTTGGTGAAATTCAGCCTAAGATAGTACACTAACTCAACTGAAAATTTCAACTCTCACGTTTATGAGATACATTTGTTGACAGACAGACAAATGGACAGCGGAGTCTTAGTAATAGGGCCCCTTTTTTACCGTTTAGGTACGTAACCCTTAAAATTACATGTCCTACTCCATACTCTATGGTTTTTATGATGGAAAATTTCAACTCCAACCTCATTATAAACAAAAAATTAAGCAAACGACGGAAACTTATATTCCGCTTTCACGTTGCGTATCAGATGCGCCCATCAGATTGCGGCCATATCTTAGTCTACCGGAGCGCGACCAGTTGGCCAACCCTGCTAATATGAACCCTTACAAAACTTAATTTATATGCGTATAAGTTAATTGGTATAATTAATTTTCCGTTAACATAACTCTGTTTTATGAAATACAAACAACCGTGTTCATGGCGTTTGAAAAGACGGTAGGTAGGTACTCAGTTATTTTCGTTCACTTATTTGTTAAATTCCATTTTTATTGGTCAAAATAAATATTATTTGGTCAGTTGAATGAAAAATTAACTCTACCAATGACGTGAATATTTCCATACCAGTAAAATATTTTTGACAGTTTTTAAAATTATCTCAACTGACTGGTAGGTATTGTCAGATCCTCTTTTTTTGAGCAGACGACAGAAAGAGTTTCAATGTTGTCTCTCTCTACATATTTACGGAGTAGTGGCACCGCAGAATACCCGCAACATGAATTCTGTACCTCTAGTAGGAAAAACTTTCGAGTTCGTTTCGTTGCGTATTCAAAGTGTCATCGAAAAATTTTGTATGAAAAATTAAACAGCGCCCCCTATATTATAGCCGCCCTAGGGGGCGCTGTTTAATTTTTCATACAAAATTTTTCGATGACACTTTGAATACGCAACGAAACGAACTCGAAAGTTTTTCCTACTAGAGGTACTGTATAGGCCAGCACCGCACTCTCTCTCTACTTAGCCACGAGATTTACTGCTGGCGCCAACGTACTAACATGTCTTACATTTTTAAACTTACGTGATTGAAATGGTTCAAGGACTGTAAGACTTTTGTCCGTGACTAGTAAAGTACATTAAAAAATAAATAACCCATTAAAAACGTTATATACGAGTTCGTTTCGCAGGATTTTAGAACTTTACCAATCAATATCTACCTAACATACTTACTTACAAACGAATAACATTTGACCTTTTCTTCATCGTTTAACTTTTTTGCATCTGCATCATCAACTAAAACCTTGCTTCAAGTAGATACCTACTTGAAGCTTTCCTTTTTTTTCCTTTTAAAAATAGCAAATTTTCCTTAAGAACAAGGTAAATACATGAATAACTCGAGATTTAACTTTGACCATCTCACATCTTAAATTCATGTTATAGCACTACAGCACATTAATACCCCATTTGCCTTTGGTAAATTAGAGAGGGCGTGTTCCTGTAGGTCAAATAATCTGATGATGATGATGAAATAGAGGATTTGGCGTACAATTCCCACGATGATCAGGTGAGTTAAGGATTAGTCGCCTCTTACGACATCCACGCGAAGAGTGGAGGTGGTCTTATTTTACTCTGTCGGAACCATACTTATATACTGATTTTTTTATAACCACNATAACCACCTTTTCCGGCTTCTCGCTGATTATTTTGTATTAGTTGCATTTGTCAATAAAATGCTAGTAATCATTGCCTAACAAGACATTCGGTCTGAAAGCAATCATCACGTTTCGTAACACGAACTGAGCTTCTGCAAGACGTCCAAAGTGAATCTTTTTATTTTAATTTCAATAGAATCAATTTGTGCTACTGCTCTACGCAGTTGGTGTAACCAACTTTAAGTCTTATAACAATGGGCTCAAGACAGACGTGTCAGCAGAAAAAAATAACATTTTCTTATTTTTTAACACTGTAAGTGCGGGTTGACTTGCGCAATGAGTGTTCTGTACACCAAAAGGTAAACAATATTGGCATACGATTCGGTTAGTGTTTTGAGTTTATTTCGCAAAACCATTACGGTACCTACATTATCAGTTTATCTCTTTCTTCCACCCTATGATTGGCATATCTTACATAAGTTGGAGATATTATAGACTGATGCAATTGAAAGTAGAAGGAAATACGATCTTTAAAATACGAGTTGATATGTTATGTCTTGAAGTTGTAGCTAGTGTGTGAAGTAAATAAGTAAATACATTGAAATACATGTTACTTACAAAAAGTAATAAAAAAGATGCCCAAAGTTTAACCTAATGAATCAATCAACAAGGCTTATTCAAAAACTGAATGTTTAGACTAATCGTATGTGCTGGATTATTTAACTGTGCAACCTTAATTTCATAGCGAAGATGAATTAGGCAATGAGATGACAGATTTTGCTGACTCTTTACGTTACATGTACACATCTTCAATTTTAAAGTAACGTTGTTAAGTAGTAAGTTGTTAACAGATGATTTTAGTTTGACTTTATAAAAAAGTTTTAGTTAGGTAAGTGTTACTCTCATTTGTAAGTTTTCTCTTTTTTTCCACTGAAAAAGTGCCCTGTTTTAACTAAAGATTTATATCAATAAAAATGAAAAAAAAAAAGCATTATAACGCAATATCATCTTTATGTATTGACATCACACATAATAAGTAATTGCAATAGTGTGTGTAATGTAAGTTGATTGTTATCTGCATTTGTACGCTATTCACTACCGGGATGCAAGTAAACGCCGATCGTTCACAGCTAATGACATTTTTGTAATTCATAAGTGGTAACGCAAAGTTGCTCAAAGTTTTTCTATTTATTTATTTATTGAGTTGAGGCATACCAATAACAGTTTTTCCACTTTATAACTCTTAGTTACAAGTATAATGTAGCAGATATGATAATTATAAATAAAGGTACCTAATTAACATCAACCAGACAATAAACCTTATGCTATCAAAATATGATTTTCTCATAGATATTGTACGGAAAAAAGAACCTATGACTTGGGTGCCAACATTCGTTCGTTTCAGACAAATGAAGTCCACTGCTGGACAAAGGCCTCCCCCAAGGTTTTCCACAATAAACAGTCCTGGGCTGCCCACATCCAGGCTTCAACGCTGTGCGTCCGATTTCCTGCTTCACATAAGCAAGAATCGTTTGTGAATACGGTTGTTAAGCTTCTTTTTGCCTTTAGGGCAGTTTTAAGTGTGATTTAGCTCCCGTCTGGGGCGTTAGCAACCCACAGTTTGAAAGCCGCACAGCTAGATATAATGCAATGTTATGCACTCATTCGTACCGGGCACCGAGCTGCACAACAGAGAAAAATCTCGATGTCGCAGTAATGAGAGTAGGTGACGTAGACCAGGGAGAACGGCTAGAACATGTATGGATAAGCAAGAAGTGACAGAAAATTCTGTTTGATAAGTGGTTAATGTAACTGTCAAAAAGGGGTAATCCCAACTGCCTCCCGAATGGGAAGAAGAAAAATCACAAAGAATATAAGTGAGAAGTTAAAATTGGTCTTCAATAATGTGCCAAAATATCTGACCTTACTGAGTTTTAGAACATTTCTTAATAGAAGGAAATAGTTTTATTTTGTTTTCTCAGAAAATGATTTTTTTTTGTGTTCAATATTATTTCAGGCTACGTTAAGGCTCAGTCACAGCTTCTTCTGAAGATGCCAGATTATGTGGCTATGTGTGGCTGCTGCTTATTATACATAGGTATTTATTATAAGTATTTATTATAATAAAACTAGGTGGACCGACGATCTGGTGAAGGTCGCGGGAGGTACCTGGATGCAAGCGGCGCAGGACCGGTCTTTGTGGAAATCCTTGGGGGAGGCCTTTGTCCAGCAGTGGACGTTTTTCGGCTGAAACGAACGAACGAACGATTTATTATAATTACAATATGCTCTTAATCCTTACCTAATATTCGTAAAACTGTCCGACTAATAATGACACCGGTTGAAGGCCGCTTGTTCAGCTTGGATCTGCAAAAGGAGAAAAATATTTATTAATACCTTAATGTGAAAGAAAGAACAAAACGATAAACAACCAAGTCTATCTTTTTCATAACATCAAAGATTTTAAGGCTGAAGTGCACCAGCAATCTTAAGTAATCTTAAAATCTTACTAACATGGTTCTTACTTTAACTTTAACAAACATCAGAAATCACTCACAAAAGCACCGCTTATCCATAAAGTTAAGGTTAAAGTTAGGTGGTGCAACTCAGCCTTAGTAGTGTGCAGTTAACAGAGCTAAAAGATTGAAGAAAATCTAAAGAACTAGCTGTTCTTGACGAGCTGTCTGTAACTCTGTCGTCGCTCTTTTTTTATAGATTTGTGACACATAGCGTGGGGTGGTGAAGCTTAGGTCAGATATAATTGATTCAGATTCAATTCTTCGCATTGTCGCAATTACTTGTCAGCGAGTTTGTAGGGAATTAGGTGATGGCGTGTCTAAGAAATGGATATCTGTGACATTTATCTTATAGTAACTAGTGACTCGCCCCGGCTTCGCACGGGTGCTAAGTATACATACATATACACCTTCTTCCTGAATCACTCTTTCTATTAAAAAAAACCGCATCAACATCCATTGCGTAGTTTTAATGATCTAAGCATACTACATAGGGACAGTAAGCGGAAAGGGACTTTGTTTTATACTATGTAGTAATAGTGAAGCCGCGTATGCAGCGCATGTTGTGCCCTACACAATCAACAAAAAAATCTCAACATTCAACAAAATTGCTGACATGTTTTTGATGATTGTGTAGAGCAAAACACGCGCTGAAGACCCGGCTTTACATACCTCTCAATGTTTTGTACATAACATTTGCAGTAAATAATGTAATACACGTAAAATTATCCTCAATTAATTCTATGTGAATACTTTTTCGCACTGTGAGAATGTTTTTTGTCACTACAATTATTACACAAATTATTTTATAATCGGCTATTAATGCTTGAGAATATGTTTGAGATATTGAAATATGAAAAAAGTTCATTACGTGCGTACACTATGCAGACTTTATTGGTGTTGAGAAATAGCAACTTTATAAGATAACTAAGTATTTATTTATAGGTTAACTCAGTCAGAGCCTGAGGTGTGGGAGCGGTACGGGAGGGGTAACATTGACATATTATGTTGTCACCGAACATATAAATCTTAAGGAGATTTGAAGTCTAGCTGACGTTTGATATTATTCAATACAACATACATCTGTTTCCGCAAATTATTACACCGATCTTGTCGCGACAAGGAAAAATTTCCGTGCTTTTAAGCGATTTTGTGAATAATATTATTGGCAGGTAGTTGCTAATTGCTCATAAGATAGGCCCCCTTAATTTAATTTATTGTCCGTGGTGCATAATCTTTTCTTAAAGGTTTTAAACCTTTGTTTGTCACCTGTCATCTACTTTGCAATGGAGGGAAGTCGAACCTTAATTTCGAACTCCTCCTATGTTCTTCTGATTAATTTCGTTGCGGGTCCAATGACAGTTTAACTTTCCCCCGGGGCAAACTTGACCTTCATTGGTTGGGTTTTTGTGGCGGTCAAGCTGTAGATCCTGGCTACACAGGAGTTGCAGTGGTGGGAACGAGAGGTGGGAATAGTCCCTTTTGACGTTTGATTTTACAAAAACACACTCTTGTGCCGCTACCATACCTTACACACTGACTGAGATAAGCGCTAGATAGGTTGATGTGCTTTCATCCAAACTCGTAATATTGGAACATTGGAAAATCTCAATTTTTGTTCGAGCATTATTTCCATTGCAACTTGGGAAAGACTTATAAGCAGCAACTGCTGCAAGCAAGCTAAGCAGAGCGACCGCTTGAGATGCTATCCCCGCAATACAAAATTCAATTACGTCTAACGCTGGATGGGCAACTTAAATCTAAGTTACCCGCCTATCTAGGCGGAATAATTATGACTGTACTATGCTATATTTAAGTTGAAGATATTGTATTTGAAATCTATTGACGAGCTAATATTGTTTTCGTGTCAAATCCACGTTTCTTTTATAACTGTTAAATACGTTGTAAATATTGATTGTCTTCCAGTGTATGTCTTGTTGGTTGTCCTATTAAATAAATAAATAAACTGAAAACTCATAAAAAACTCATAAAACGCATTTATTTATGCAAATAGGTTTTAAAAAAGCACTTTTACACGTCCCAGTATTAACCCTACCACTGCTTCAGGACAATAAATGGGCCAGTGCTGAGAAGAACAAGAAAACCTTTAAGAAATCTGAGATGAGTTAAATTCATTAAGGGAGTCCTGCAGTTGCCAGATTTATCTACAATTTGAGACATCATGAATCTGAAATGAGCCTATGGATTCTTTTAACTGAGGTAGAGCAGAATGTTTATGCTTCGGTAAAGCTTAACTTAATCAAATATCCTTTCCAATAGTTTTAGCATCAAAAAGAGACTTGTTTAATAAATATTTTCATCACTAACGGACCGATCGGCATTGCAGATTAACATAATATCAACGTGTGGGCTTCAACCATACTTGCTTATAAAAGGAGATCCGTTACGCGCAGACGAAGGCGCGACGAACTAACTTTAACGACACACATATTAGAAAACGCTTTATATTATGTGCACCTCACTTTACAGTTATTTGTTTATTAACTTACAATTATGGAGGAGTAATGCTGCAGCAAACCCCACTTTTATCCAGTTGGATGTGTTATGTTGATAGAGTTTTAAATGTTTGAGATTTGGCTTTTCTAACTGAGGTCGCGTGATTAATACCCTCAATACAATCATTTATGTATAGGACACTAATTCTCAACTCTAATCAAATAGGTACTCTAACTACTAATCATGTCTAAATATGTATTGAGTATTTAAATAAATGAATTATATATTCACATTATAGTGTACGAACAGCATAGAATTATGAATATTGTGTCTACTAGGTAACACCTGTTTATTGGAAAAATCGTATCTTGACCTCAAAAATATTATTACTTATTTATTCATTTACTACCAAATATGAATTTTGCTGGTATTATACGCTTTAAATACCCTTGTATAAGATACTACAAATTGATAGCAATTATTTATAGGCTGCCTAATTCACGACCCGGCTTTGATCCTAAAGGTTAAGGACCTTCAAAGGCAAAACGTGTTACAACGACATTATAATGACAAATAAATAATGTGCGTTCTTGCGACATTTTTTATATTAATAATAGTAATTATGTCTTCGAAGAGATTACTTAAATCTGGTTTTGAAAACTAAGCGGTGTAAAAATGGCAAAAATAGACCACAGATTCGCTAATGACCGTAGAAAAAACGCCATTACGCTTGACATGTGGATGTAAACAACAGGCNTAACGGGCCATTAATCTGTGGTAGAGTTCCTACGCTTTAGTTTTTGTAGTAAAAAACTGTGCTAATTAAGAATGTAAATACAGTCCGCCGAACATCGTAATTCTTACTTTTGGTGTGATTACTTTGTTTTGATTGTATCTTAATTAGAGATGAAACGGATATCCGGTAACTATCCGGTAGGCCGGATATCCGGCCTAAATTTACTATCCGGCCGGATACCGGATAGTAACTCATTATCCGGCCGGATACCGGATATTAAAAAAGTACGACAATTTAATATTAATAAAATGAAATACATTAATCTTTGAGGTAAATATTAATAAAATGGCTTATAATAACGACGGCTTTTATATAAAGTCCAAAAAGATACAAAAAGCCATATTAAGGCCTTTCAAAAATTTCATTTCTTTTTCTGGGCTATTCACTCTAATGACGAATACATAAATACCTGTTAATGTCGAAATATTTCCAAATAAAATAGGCGATCTTTTTTTCACTGATGGTCTGATGACATGATGCAGTTAAGTCAGATTACGCAGCAAGTAAACTAATTCAATTTTCGCTATTCAATCACACACTCACGAATTCACGATGACAACCGAAATCCCCCGAATTGATCTGCCCCCTAGACAAGTGGCAAAATCTGACATTCTATTCGGACCGATTCGATTTTCGAAAAGTGTGACTAGTCTAGTCTACTAATAGCTGATCGCGTTCGAAGCACCTGTGCGGCGTTATACTCGTCATAACATGCAACGAGACAATGGGTCAACTATCCGGCCGCCGGATATCCGGCTATCCGGCCTAGCAGCTGGCCGGATATCCGGTATCCGGTATCCGGCCAAACAACTATCCGTTTCATCTCTAATCTTAATTATTTGCCTTTTTCAATTACAATATTCTGAAATTTGATTTAACTGATCGAAGTTTTTAACTGACTATATTAATGGGAAGTTAAACAAATATAACATAAAATACAGATCGAAATCCATACATATTTTCCCTCAACGTGACCCAAAGAAGAAAAAGATACAGATATACAAATTGGTACAAAACACGAGTTAACAAAGCTGTATTATTTTCCCTTAAATGCCAAGGTAGTGCAATTCACGGCTGGCCTTTCTGTAAACTGTAGGTATAAATACATATAATATGCCTACTTCCGTGATTTAGTTTAGTTGTAGCCACCGAAATGGGTAGCAATGATGCTCTATGTGACCTTTTGCCCACCTACATAAAGTTAATGATGCATCAATTTGTTAGGAGTTTAATTAACTTGTTGTTTGTTGAAATGTGGATTAATTAAGGGTCTTCATTTGGGTGGTCAAAGGGTGTTGTGGTGAAGGGTTACAATATAATTGATATTGTGGTGTCAATAGTGCTGACCCGTTCTCAAATTTAATTGCATTAGTTATTGAAACCATTCGTTATTTATTACCGCTATCCACCAAATATCTAGCTAGACTATTCGCTATAGATTTTATTCAGTGATTGTTTTCAACATTTCTAAATTTTGCTGCAATTACGGAACTTTGAATTATAATTACTTTTTCAAATCTTAAACGAATGGTGAATGTAGAGTTTGCGTGTTATTCTTTAAACTTAAATAACAGGTTGAAAACAGCCTTTTGAAAACT